GGGGCAGGTTCCCACGCGCTTGGGCTCCAATTCAGGTTATGACTTGGTGAGGAGTCTGTCAGATCCCAGAAGATCTGAAGGATTCTGAAGAATCAAGGGAGCATTATAAGCCCTCTGACCTCCCCCACCCCTCCCCCTGCTCCATTTTAGCAAAATCTCCATGATTGTCAGGGAATCAAACCTCATTAAGAGAATCTGGCCAACAGGAAAGAGAGAGAAAAGGAAGGGGGGAGGCCCAGACAAAATCCGCGTGGGTTTCTCCTTCAGGTTATTAAGCTTTCAGGACAACAACACGTGAACCATCCCAGAGGGAAGAGTTTTGAGAGCCTACAAAGCCTCCTTTCTCTTCTACTTGGGAAGCAGGCGCCTTTAGCTGCTCCCATTTCAGCTTGTACTGACACCATCAGTCTGGCAAGGATGGCCAAAGATGGTCCATGAGACCCCTTGTGGAACATTCCTGCCCCACGTCTAACTAGAAACTAGTTTCTAGCAACCAGAAGCTTAGAAACTAGGTTGAGTGGGGTGGGAGCTGGCACAGAACAGAAAGTTTCTGCAGAAAGAAAAAGGGAAACATGTATATTTAGTTACTATGTGCCAGGCAGTGTCAGCCCTTTGGAGAAGTTATTAACTTTAATCCAGATGGTGACCTGTGAGGCAGGTCCTGTTACCCTCATTTCAGAAGGGGAAACTGAGGCTCCCAGAGGGAAGAAGAGGCTCTGCATCTAACAAGTAAAAATCCTGAAGAGAGAAAGAGCCTGAACAAAGAGATGAAAGCTTTGGCTCTCTGACCCAATTCACAGGATAAATGATGTCAGGGAAGCCACCGGGCCATTCTTTCCACTGAGCCAGGGGACCTTCAGTGCCTGCTCAGAGCACCCCCTGCTGTCAGCTGGAGCCACTGCAGCAAGACTGGCCACGAAACGGGAACTGGGAGCTGGAGTGGGGCGAGTTCTGTTCCCACACAAGCTGACAGGAGGAAAATCTCCAGCCAGGATTCTGCTGACCCCGGGCTGTTCAGGGTCCACCTGGAGCTCTGGGTCACATTTTGGGCCCTGCTCTTTACAGGAGACCCCCAGAGGAAGGGGTCCAGGACAAGGAGCCCTCTAGAACCCACGGGAGAAGCTGCAGTAGAAAGAGAACAGGGAGAGCCCCCTTGTGGAACAGGCTGGACGGACAATTTTCAGGGCTGCTGGTGAAGGGCGCATGTTGCCCTCCCAACCCCGCAACCCCCCAAGTTAGGGCCCCTGTGCTTGGCTCTACGCGAATCTCTGTGCTCCAAGGCATCACTGCTTCCCTAACCTGGGGATGCTGTTGACTCCTGTCCAACTTCTCTCAAGAGTGCTCCTAGCCTTGTTTTTAATTTTACATTTAGGAAAAATTCAGAGTAGAACTGTGATTTATGTTTTACCACTTACGTAGCTGACTCACGGCTCTCTTACAGTTCCAGGACGTTTCTAGCAGCTACAATATTTTTCTCTGGGAATGCAGAACGGTATATGCCCTCATACACACTATGCCAACAGAGGAGGGTTGGTTATCAGAGAGAAGGAATTTTCACCCAGATGATCAATCGGTCCCTTCCAATCCCGACGGTCTATGAAGTCCCAGCAAAGAGGGAGGATGCAGCCCCCTGCTCTTGGGCCTGGATTCCACCCGGCATCCACGCAGGGGCACAGGAAGTTCCGAGGACCCTCGGCCTACTGCCATCCTGGGCAGAGAAGCAATGCTCTCCTCATTTAGAATTCTTGCCTCACCGACATCTGTACAACCCCAAGGATGCTCCCTGGTGAAAGACGCCCACTTTTGCCTGCCTGGGGACCCTGACAGACCCAAACTTCAAGGGGAGTTTAGAGAATGGAAGCAGGGGATGGAGGGGCTAATTAGTCACTGCTAGACCTTACTCAGGCTTCTGAAGAGAGACAAGACCTCAGAGCAGAGGTATTTAGGTGCCATGATCCCTGATCCCAAGCTTAGCAGTCAGAACCTGCCTCCAGGTCACCTGCCTCAGCGGGACCTGAGAGGTCATTTCTACCTGCCCTTTTTAAGCCAAAGGCGACTCAGACCATTCTGTCTTCCTTGAATGGTTTCAGTCCTATCCTTCCTGAGAAACCATGGATGAGGGACGGGCTGGCCCATTATGGACCCCTGGGACAGGGGACGCTCACTTGTCACAGCACAGGGCCAACATGAGCTACCCACTGCTCCCACCTGCAGGGCAGAGTCTGGCCCACCCCCTCAGCCCAGAGAAAGGGTTTTCTTAAGGTTATTAGGGTGGTTCTGGGTGGGTGGGGAGGTGACGACAGTAACCTCAGGAGACGCTGCGAGGCTTTTCTGAGTGAACACTTCCAAGCCTGTGGCCGTCCCAGGCTCAGGTGCCAAGTCCTGCTGAGAGGTGTCCTGGGTCCTCTGGGACTGCAGGGGAGGCCCAGGGCCGGAGGAGAGGGGAAGAGGGAGGAAGGGAAGGAGAGACAGAGAGGGAGAGACAGAAAGCAGGAGAGAGACACACACACAGAGTCCGTGAATAGCCCAGCTTTGTAAATCCCGCATCCTTAGGTCAGGAAGGAGCCACGCCCTGAGAGCCCATGTTTGAATCAGGGATTCCAGTTACCATCAGCAGTGGCCCCAGGACTGTCCAGCACTTTCCAGTTTATAAAGTGCTTTTATATCCATTATTTCACTCGACCTTCCCCACAACACTGTGGAGTGGCAATTTTGGTCCCCTTTTAGATGGACTGACAAGGCAGTGAGGCTTCCAAGAAGTGATGTCACTCACCCAAGGACCCAGTCCAGTCCTTGGCGACAGCTCCTCTCATCTCCCAAATCTTCAAGAGCCTCTAAATGCCAGTGGGACCTGTAAGCCAGTTAAAAGGTCCATCGCTCCAAGGTGAGCTCCTGGACCAGACTTCTCTCCAGCAATGGACTACACTTCTTGCGGGGAGGCAGTAGCGGGGATGGGAGGTGGAACAGACTCCACCTTTTAATGAGACGCATCTTCTGGCAGTTCCAGCTATCACCAGCAGGTGGGGCACCCCCATGCCAGGCTGCTCAGAGCATCTCAGCACCCCGGAGTCCAGCCCTCCAGGGCCCAGCCTTCCTTTCTCTGCTGGAGTCTGACCCCTTTGGAAGCCTCTACATCCACCTCACCGACTTCAGGACTGACTAGAGGCCACTCTGGTCAAGTGTCTCTCAGGGCAGGAGGGGGGGGTGTGTGTACCTGGATCACTAGACCAGCCCCATGGCCCCATCCAGGGTCTTCAGTGTCTTGATTGTGCCAGCGGTGACCACAGAAGCCCTCAGTGGGTGAAGAGATCTGCCCTCCTTCCATGGCACCAGCCATAGAGGCCCCCATGGCATCCCTGACGTCGTGAATCACCAGCCAAGGAGCTACCACAGCAGCCTCGCTAGACAAGGCCCTCTGTTACCCGGCATGTTGAGGCCACGGGAGTGCTGATTCAATCAAAGGCTCACTTATTAGATCACAGCTGCATCATCAATTTTCAAAGCTCTAAAGGGCAGCACAGGCACAATTGACTGTCTCCTGGTCTTCATATGATTTGGTCTTGCTCCCAGGCAGCTGTGATTTAATAGCAAATACAGTGGCCTGGGACATAAGAAAATTAGATTCTGGCCCCTCTTCTATCAGCTATGACACTGATCAAGTCCTTCCCCTTCCTGAGCTTCTGTGCCCATGTGTAAAATGATGACCTTGAGCCAACTGGGTTCCGAGGGTCCTTCCCAACTTTAAAAAGGATTCTGATTTGAAATTAACCTTCTGTGTGAGAGTTCCAAGGCTCTCCAAATGAAACAATAAGTAACTCACATTGAGCATCTAGGTCTTCTGCTGGCCCCTCCATGCTTTATCTCATTGGATGCTCACAACAGTCCTGGGAACTAGGTGCTTTTATTATCTCTATCTAATGGAGGCTCAGAGGGGTTAAGTAACAAGCCCAGAGTCATCCAGCTAGCAGGCAGCAGGGCCAGAATTCAAACCCAGGCACTCTAAGTCTAGACCTCAGAAGGGTTTAAGACCAGGAAGCAGCAGCACTGGAGAGAAAACACCTAACATAAACGGGGGGTGGGCTTCCCTGGTGGCGCAGTGGTTGAGAGTCCGCCTGCCGATGCAGGGGACGCGGGTTCGTGCCCCGGTCCGGGAAGATCCCACATGCCGCGGAGCGGTTGGGCCCGTAAGCCATGGCCGCTGAGCCTGCGCGTCCGGAGCCTGTTGCTCCGCAACGGGAGAGGCCACAACAGTGAGAGGCCCGCGTACCGCAAAAAAAAACAAACAAAACAAACAAACAAACAAAAAAACGGGGGTAAAGAGTGCCAAGATTTAGCAGTGCTAAAAATACCAGCTTGGGATTATAAACAGAGGAATTCTCAAGATCCTGTCTTTCTCTTTTTCAATGAGAAAACACCCCATGCTTTCCACTCTGAAAGACAGGTCAATGTGGGATCTTTTTCTGGAGCACCAGGAACAGCTCTGACTTTCCTAGAGGATCTGTTCCCTTCTGGTGGGCTCTGAGGATCTTCCTAGGAAGGAACCCTCCCACCATCTGTGTTTTCACAACAGGCACAAAAGGGTCTGGTTACTGGACAGAACTACCAGGATTCTTAAAATTTAGTGTGTGTGAGAATCACCTGGGGCACTTGTTTAAAATACTGATTCCAGGGCTCTACCTCCAAATACTCTGATTCAGTAGGTCCGAGTCGGGGCCCCAGAACCTGCATTTCTAACCAGCACCCCTTCCCCATTACACTGTGGCTGATGGAAGGGAAATACACCATGCTACAGTGAGTTTTTTGAGTTGTTCAAGGTGGTCCCTGGGGCCCAGGATTCCAAGAGTGAGTGAATTTGTCTTCCTCAGCTTAACCTGCTGCCCTATCTCCATCACCACCTTACGCAGCAACGGGGCGTGGAGGGGGAGGGTAAGTCAGTACGTAGCAACCTTCCCCACCGTCTTTACCCAAGGCCCCAGTTGAGGGGTTCGGGTGAGACCTACCTCGTTGACCTTCTCAGGGGTGCCCTTGGGGGAGGGGGAGGCGGGAGAGGAGGGTAGCCTGCGTTCCCGCTCCCAGTCTCGATCCCGGTGGATCAGTTTGCTGTTGGGTTCCTTCAAGGTCCTCTTGAGCTCGTTGATGCTGGCCTGGTGCTTCAGCAAGACATCCTCTGGCTTGTCTAAGAACTGGGGTGCAGAGAGAGGACAGTCAGGTATCAGAGGAACAGCTCCAAGAAGAGGATGCAAGGCGTGGTGAAAATGGTAATGGTCCCCATCACCGCCCTACATCAGCAAGGTGATTCCCATCCATGGCCCTATCTCACCCTCACAGCGTCCCATAAGCCAAGCAGGGCAGGGATGATTGGCCCCAACAGGTACACAAACCACTCAAGATTAAAGAGAAGAGCAAAAAGCACTTAAGGTTAAGAAGAGGAGACTTCTGGCCAAGTACGATCTTTTCTTCTTCCCTGCCTGGCTCCTGGCCTTGCAACACCTAAGTCAACCCAAATCCCACAGGTCTGGGTAAGTTCCCTTTAGTTTCACAAGGCGCAGAGGTGACTTCCCTCTGGTTACAACCAAAGCACAGTGAGAAATCACCAGTCCTGTTCACTGGGCTGCTCTGGCCCACTCCTTGGCCTCCTGGATCCTGGTGCCTACCTCTGGCCATGACTTGGACCACTGCGCTTATTAGCAGGATCCTCGGTCTAGGCCCCTCCTAGCCCAACGTGTGCCACTGCTCAGGCCCCGTAGGGCCCTTCTAAATCCAAGGACATCCAGAGAAATGTGCCCTGCTTCCACACCAGGGGCCAGGAAGAGATGATGTTCAGCATTCTCTGCTGTGAGCCAATACCTTTCCCAACCACCCAGGATCTCCCAGATTCCTCGTGGGTACCAACTCCTCAAGGGCAGACAGGGTGAGATACAGCCAGACAGAGAAACTAGGGCTCTGTGGGGTGTTCAGGAAGATTAGAATTAGAGACCAGGAAGAAGGGAGGTAAGTCCCAAGGCTGGGCACAAGAACCGAGCCAGGTACAGCTGAAGTCATAGAAGTGTCGCTATTAAATTGCCAAGTCGGAGCTCTGGGCGGTACAGAGGTACCCTTGCCCTTAGGTCAAGTGAGGACCAGCCTTTGCACAGGAACCAGCAGTAGTCGGCCTACTTCTGGAGGCAGGGCAGGCGCGCTGGCAGCCCAAGGACCCTTATCTGCAAAGCTGTTTGAGGACTCAGGACAAGAAATAGACAACCTCAGCTTATTATAAAGTCAGATCAGTGATCCTGGAACAACTACTCGGAAGGCAAGCTTGCCCTTGGACAAGGCTAGAGTTCCCCTGGGCTTATCTCTAGCATCCAAGGATCCACTATGATTAACTCCTAAGTTAACTAAGGAAGGAAACCGATGCCACTGAGGCTCTGCTTTCCCTCTAGACATCTGCCTGTACCTCCTGCATCCCTTCCTGAGCAGAGCTGTCTCAGGACAACGTCTGTCTGAGAAATCAAACCTGATAGAGGGTGCACAGGTGGGTGGGTTTGGGCCGCCACGGACCTAAGACGTGGCTGGTGACCTTCCATCTTGAACCTGCCACACTGGTCCTGTGAGCATGTGGTGTTCCGCAAGGCTGAAGGGAGCAGTGGATCCTTGAAGGATAAGGGCCTGGGGGAAACCTAGTCCAAGTGCCTTGCTGCGCAGATGGGGGACTGGGACCTGAGGGGACTTTACCAAGACCCTCAAAGAGTCAGTGGCAGAACTGAGGCTGAAACCCAAGAGCCAGGCCTTTCTGACGCCCCAGCCTCTGGCCTTTCCCTCAGCAGCCCAAGAACAGACCCACTTCTCCTGCAGTTAAGTATCAAAGGAAGAGTTGGACACTACGTGAAAGGGAAGGAGAAAGGGTTAGCACAGGATGAGGGTGTTGAGAGAAGCAGAAAATGGGAGGAGGAGGCTTTCCTGGCAGAGCTGGAGCAGCAGGGGCCCCGCCCGCGGGAGGTGCACCTGGGGCTGAGAAGACAGATGTGCTCTGAGGCCCCTCCCTCCCCACACCCCCCACTCCCACATCTGGTTGCCCATAGATACAAAAAGAAGCTTGGTCGGGGGGGACACAGGGGACACAGATGCGGAGGCATATGACAAGGCAGTGGTACAGGGAGAAGAGTCAAAAGGAGGCTTTGGGGTGGGAGTGGGGGGAGGTGTGGGGGACGGAGGTGGAGATGAGCTCAGTGAAAGCACAGGATGGCCTGGAAGAACTGGGGGACACAGTGGGGGGTGGTCAGTGGGTGGGAAGCAAGCACGGCGTGGTCTGGAGAGGCAGGGCGTGAAGCTGGGAAAGGGAGGGAGAGGTGGGGAGGGAGGGAAACATGGGTGGTTGGTTGGGGGTGCTGGAGTCTCTCGATGAGCTTAAGATGGGGAGGGGGTGATGGAGGGTGGGGCTGGGTGAAGGAGGAGGGAGAAGCTGAAGTTGAGGTGGTGCTGGGATGTGAGCCTGGGGTGGATGGTGGGGTGATGACAAATGAGCCGGGGTGGGTGAATGGCTGGGTGGGTGGGGACAGGCCCCATGCAGTACCTCCTGCTTGTGTCTCGGCGTGGTTTCCTGCTCCGGCTAGCGGGACGTGGGAGGAGGAAAAGGAACCAGCAGGGTCAGTAGAGCAAATGGATTAGAGATACCGCGACTGGCCTGGTCCAGCAGGTAGCCCAGAGCACTCTGGGAAGCTGGGTGGGCCACCAGCAGGGCAGTGAGGTCGTCAGAAGGTGCGGGGCGTGAAGCAGGGAGCCCAGGAAGGCGAAGAAGGGGGCGGGAGGCCCGGAGGCAAAGCGGCCCATCACACTCGGCAGATGGGATGTGGGGTTCTGGAGAGTCATGCTTCTTGCTGTCAGTGTGTGTTCAGGGGCTTGTGCTCCCAAGGTGGGGGTGCGTGATGGAAACCCAGCACACCCGTGTGTGCACATGCCCGTGTGCGTGTGCACGTTGTCTGCACGTCTGGGTGCATAACCCTACGGGCGAGGGGGTACACGTCTGTGAGTGAACACCTGCGAGTCTGAGGCCACGCGGGCCTGCGTGAGCATGCGCACAGGTTGGTGGGAAATGGGGGCGGGTGGCAGGAACTTGAACCTCACCCTTGTGGCCTGCAGGGACACCCTATCATGGGTGAACGGGGGCTGTGCAGACCCAGATCACAGGCAAAAGGGCAAATTAGAAGTGAGCAAGAGGCCAGAGTCCACCAGGGAACAGAGCGCCCCTCCCGGAAAGCAGGGCAAAAGGAGCGGAAGGGTACAGGGTGGGCAGCATGCCCCACCCCCACCTGCAGATTCCAGGTATTGAGCACGGCCCAAGAGCAAGGCCCTGTCCGTGGTGCGCCGCAGAGCAAGGGTGCCTGGCCACCGCTGAGGGCACCTGAAGGTCAAGGCTGAGCCTAGACCCAGGGTCAGCCTCCTGACGCCCAGGTCAGAGGGTACGAGAAAGTCGGGCTCGTACCTTTAACTCCTTGATCTTGGTGGGGGTCCTGACCTCTCCCTCCTCAGCCTCTGACCGCCGCCCCCCAGACTCGCCATCCTCCTCCCGCTTGTCACTGTCAGGTCCTGCGTCGTGGTTCTCACTGACCGAGGCTGGGCGAGAGAACTCTGCTGAAGTGGGCAGAGATGGCCGGGCGGCCATATGAGTCACCTCCCAGGCACAGGGAACAGGAGCCAACCCACCGCCCGCCCAACCATGCCTGGTATAGAACAGATACCGCCACAGCCTCAACACGCTGGGGATAAGGAGCCAGTGCCCAGAGGAGTGGCGTGGCCTTCCCCAGGTCACTCAGGGGGTGAGAGCCAGAGCCACCTCCAGCGCCAGGCCCTCCCCTGATTTCTACAGCACTCGAGCCTGGGTTCAAATCTCAAATCCATCTCTTCTTGGCTGTGTGATCTTGGGTAAGTTATACAACCTCTCTGGGCCTCAGTTTGCGCATCTACAAACAGTACCTAATTCAGACAACTGGGAGGAGGAACAGAGAAGCTAATGTGTCTCAGAGAAGCAGTGGCTGGCTCAGAGTGAGCCAATTCGATCAGTGTTGGCTCACAAATGTTACTGTTTTTGTTGTGGTGGTCGTAGCAGATACTCGCTTGACCGTTATTTAACAATACACAGATACTGTGAGATTAGCTTTTATTAGTGAAAGTTAAAGTTCTGAGGTTTGCACATGATTTACCTTCTTTTTAAATTAGGGAGAAATCAAGGGGATCCCTGCAATAACATCTTTCTCACTCACTGGCATTCCAAAGTCCTTTTCTGAACAGGAAAGAAAGGGATGGAATTACAGACTTTACATCAGACACTGGGCAAAACCCAGACTATGCCCAGGGCTTGTGTCTGAGTGGAAAAAATGGCTAGAAAATACTGCATTAAAATCATCAGAGCACAAATTATCCTCAGGATTGGCATAGAGTTTTTTTTTAAGAATAATTATCCCTTTTATTCATATATATCACTTGACAAACTGCCCATTTATGCACATTATTTCATTAGATCCACATAATACTCTGTGTTGATGGCTAGGATGGGAATTACTATCCCCATTTTACAGAGGATAAATTGAGACCTCGAAAGGAGAAAGGTCCCACTGGTAACCTTTCAGTTACCTAGATAATGAACTTCACCAGTTCTGGGCCAATCTTTGCTGCCCTGAACAATCTGGGTTTCATTCAGCCCCCAGCATGGTAATGGGAGCTGCAGGGGAGGACAGAAGGACAGCACAGCCCTCCTTTCCCTTTGCTTAAATCTCAGCTCTCAGCACTGTACTTACTCAAGGAGAATAGGGAGCTTCCTGAACCCCAAATGGACCCTTGAAAAACTGCATGTCCTCCGAACACGGCCAGGGAGTCCTGGGGCGAGACTCACCTCCATACTACTGGAAACATATCAGACTCTCCTAATCACCTGGCAAACTCCTAAGCATCCTTCAAGACTCTAGCCCAACCCTCTCTCCACAGGGCTGCTCTGTATTCTGTACATGCTTCTCCCACCAGCTGAATCATGTTGAATGCTGACAAACCTACTATTCTGTGAGCTCCTCAAAGGAAAGGGCCATACTTATACTAAAAACCGTACCCAGGACCTAACACAAGGCCTGGCACACAACTAACACTAAGAAATTATTTGTTGCCTTGTGTGGAGGCCAGCCCCAATATGTTCTGGGAGCACCTGCTGGTCCCCCACCAAAGTCCCCATCTCCTACCTTCAAGCTACCCCCTACAAACCTAAAAGCAATAATAATTTATTAGTGATCCTACAATTTATTAAGGTCCTACTATGTGCCATGAACTGTTTTGGGTGTGGTAGAGGTATTACTTGTTTAGTTCTCCCTATAACACAATGAAGTAGGTATTATTCATTTTGCAGAAGAAGAAATAGGCCCAGGGGAGTTAAGCTGCTCAAGGCCTCCCATCCTTTCATTCAAATATTTATGGACCACCTCCTGCCTCCATGGAGCAACTGGTGAGTGTCAAGGCTGAGACCTAACTCTGCCTAACTCCCAGTGCCGCATGTGGCTTCTGACCCTCTCCTGTAAACTCGTGAGCATAGCCTGGGAGAGTTCTGGGCCCTAAAGGGTGCCGATTTAGTAGGATTAGGTAAAGGCCTGGGACTTCTCATGTTTACAAGCTCACAGCTGGTTCTGATGCCACATTTTGAGAAGCCCTGGTATGCTTGATACAGGGCAATGTATGGCCAATTCTCATTAATAGTCAGGGCACCTATCAACTCAAGAGAAATGGGGGCAGTGGAGACTGCCATGCAGTTAGATGTCAATCAGCCCAGAGCCAAGCCCAGTGGAACCAAAAAAATGATTGGGAACAACTCCTTCGCCTCCAGTAAGGCATCACCAGCTCCACACTGCAGTTACAATATACCATTCCAGAATGGTGACAGGCTGTGAACTGCTAAGCTTCTTGGGAAGGGGGCCCAGAAAACCATATGGCTGAACCTGGGACCCCAAAAGGTCGCAACTCAGGGAAGTTGTGAGAAGCCCAGAGTGTCAGTGTCACATTCCAGCAGAAGTGGTACCGTAGGCTAGACCAACCCACTGAGAGTCCCCAGATGCAGCAGGGCTCTGGGGCCACCATGCCTGGTGCAAATCAACTGTGATGTGTTCACCGCCTCCACTGCTCATTCTACAGGACCCGGCATGCTCCCACCCCCCTCTACACGCCACTCTCCCTGCCACCTCCAGCGTGGGACATACCTCCGTCAAGGCTGCGGGACATGGTGTACCGTTTGCTGGAGGAGCGCTCAAAGAAGGGCGCGGGCCGGTCGATGAGGGCGCTGGCCTGGCGGGTCTGTGCCTGGGTCCTCCCACTATACCGAAATTTGGAGCCCATCACCAGGAAGCCCTTGGGTGGGGGCTCAGGGGACACCAGCCTGCAGGGGAGGGATGGAGGCAAGCAGAGAGGATCAGACGCGCAACGCCAGGCCCAAGGCTGGACCACAGCTGGCCTTCTGTCCCGCTGTTCCACCACCAGTGACAACTCTAAGTGGTCCAGAAGGTGAGAGACTTGGGGAAAGAGGAGGAGGAGGGCTTTCCTAGAGTCCCTACTAACTCCTCCTACTGAGGAAACACAGCCGTCACCCACATCCACTCACAGCCTCGGCCTCAGCCCCTGTTACCACACCCCAGGGGCAGGCTCACCGGAAGAATGTATGGTGCTCAATGCAGACCTTCCACAGTCTCTTGGCCGACCGGTGATTTGGGAGCTTAAAGCCAATCGTGCTCTCAAACTGCTCATACTGCAAAACCAGGGAGGGTGGGTCAGAAGCAAGGCCTGGGCCCACTCTCACCACCAGTCCATCCTTTCTGAACCTCTTTCTCAGGCCTGTATGACTCTGGCCTGTTCGTTCATTTATTCATTCATTTAATCAATCAGCTGGATCAAGCCCTTAATCTGTGACAGGTCCAGAGCTAAGCAACAGAGACACTAGGGTGACCAAGACAGAAGATTCTTGGGGGTGGGGTGGGGGGGATGATAAATGGGTAAACAAGCTCATCTCAGATACTGATAAGGGCACAAAGGAATGGATAGAGATGTGTGGTGTGACAGGGAATGCCTGCACAGGCGCGCAGGCGCGCTACTTTAGAAAGGGTGATCAGGGAACGCCCTCTACACAGGGTATCTCTGAGCAGAGAACTGGAGGATGGGAAAGGAACCAAAGCTATGTGAGAAGGTGGGGCAGAGGATTTCAGGTGGAGGGAACAACAAATGCAAAAGGCTCGGGCAGGAAAGAGTTTGCTTATTCAAGGATCTCGGAGAAGGGTGAAGGGGCTGGAGTGCCCGTGGGCGTGGGCGTGGGGCAGCGGGGGCAGAGGCAAGTGGGAGAGGCAGGTGGCCAGACAGAGTTAGGACTTGAGTCCAAGAGCTAAGGAGAGCTCTCAGAAGGTTCAAGTGAGGAGTGGGAGTGGGGTGGGTTTGACATGAAGTGATGCAAGGAACTTTTAAGCTCTCTCCAGCAGCTCTGAAGAAAATGGCCTGGAGTGGCAGTGGAGGCCGGGAGACCAGTGAGAAGGACAGTGTAGGGATGGAGGGGAGAGACGGTGGCTGGTGCAGTGGACAGAGGGACAGAAACAGACGGGCTCGCATTTATTCTCGAGGTAGAACCAAGCGGACTTTGTGATGGGCGGGATGTGGAGGGTGGGCATATTCATGTTTGCAATGTGTGTGTAGTCGTGTGTCTGTGTGTATCTTCGTATGAGTACCACATGTAAGCAAATCAGGACATGGACATAACATTCCCTGATCTGTATAACCTGAATATATGTGGTTTTCTTTATGCGTATACTCCCGTGTGTGTGAGTGTGTGTGTGTGTGTGTGTGTGTGTGTGTGTGTGTGTGTGCAGGCACATACCTAAAGTGCAAAGTCTATGTAGACAGCCCCAGCAAAAGAGGACTGTCTCCCTACCCAGCACCCAGCACCTCCATCCATGTATCCTGGGTAGGAAAAAACCCAGGCCCAGCTGCTGGGGTCCCCTCCACTTTAGCTGGTCCTGGAGGAAGGGATTCCCAAGGCAGGCTCACCTCCCCAGGCCGGATCTTGATGTAGAAGTTACTCCTCTTGTAGGAGATCTTGAGAATCTTGGGCCAGGCAAAGCGGTTGATCCTCAGCCGGTCCCGGTAGATGAGCAGGCCATTGGCACAGACTCCTAACATGATGTCGATGCCCTCAGAGTCCTGTGTGAGAAGGGACCGTGGAAATGACCCCGAAACCCCATTCTGAGCTCTGCTTGTAATGAGCCCTCAGGAGCAGGGTTTGAGCATCCATGCTGGAGCCCCACTGACTAATCCGTCACAGAGCCATTTGTTCATTCATTTTGTCCTTTATTCACCCACTCACTTGTTCAATCATTTTCTCTATCAATCACTCAATCATTCATTCACCCAGCAAACAGTTAGGGGTACCTGTGCATACTAAGTCATATGCTATATGCTCAGGATACAGAAATAAGTTAAGGCCTATGTCTTTCCCTCATGAAGCTCTCAATCTAGCGGTGGCACAGATAGATTCATAAATAAATATAATACAAGGAGAAAATAATAAGGGTCATGGGGAATAAAGGGTTACGGAACGTCAAGTTATGAGAAATGAGAAGAGAAAAGGCTTCAGGTTGGAGGTAACACAGAGTCTGGCACACCAAGCCCTCCAGAAAGCCCTGGTTACTCCTCAGAAGCACCCCCCAGAACCTAGGGGAACCCTGGCGCCCAGCAATACCTTGGCATGGTGCAGGTCTACTCCGTACATAGAAAGCTTCTTGGCGTTCTCTAGGAAGTGGATTTCTGCTTCTCCTGGGGTCATGCCCCTAAGGGAAAGAAAGTGATCGCTGGTGGCCGGTGGAAGGACCAAGGCCTGAGTCCTGCCAGCCGAAGATGACCGCGATCAGAACATGTGATCCCAGGAAGGCAAGCATTCTGGAGCAGGAGTGTGGCTGGGCCTCCCCGGTCCCTCACCTCTGCTCTCAGTGCCGGACAGTGCACCCCTAGCCCCCACTTCAGTCCACTGAACTCTCATCTCCTGCCAAAGCTCAGGTCCAGCCTTATTTTCTCCAGGAAGCGTTCAAGGCCTCAGCCGGGAGTCCAGATTTTTGCCTCATTCTGCCACTGGATTCAATGGGAGCCATAAATTCTGTTTCTTCACGACAGTGAAACCACTGTGGATGACATTGCTTATCATTATCACCCAGGGGCTCCTAAATTATTACCCACAAAGGCTATTTTTCGCAGAATTTTGTATCAGAAACCACTTAATCGTCCTTGAGGAAAGGAGGAATCTCTCTCCTTTCTGAAAAGAAGAGTTATGTAATTCATCAAGTTCCTTCTTGGCTTTGGCTGCCAGGAAACTGTACACTCTCACAGCATTTACTGAGTAACATTTATTGAGTACTACATGCTGGTTACTGTTCCAAGCACCTTACATGTATTAATTCATTTGAATCCTCATAACAGGACTATAAGGTAGATATCACTATTCCCACTTTATACATGAGGAAACTATGGCACAGAGAGGTTGAATAACTTGCCTAAGGGCACACAGCTATTAAGTAGCAAAGTCAGGATTTGAATCCAGACAATGTGGCTCCATGGTTCACGTTCCCAGCCACTTCGTTTACATCCGTCTCATAGCCTCAGTTTCCTGTGCTCTGTCTACCTTGGAGAGCTTTTGCACAGAATACCTGGACACTGGAAATCAATCTGCTTTAAGTCAAAAGAGCTGTTACAGCTGAAGGGATGGCCGTTAGGATTTCTCCAGCGCAGATTGATCTGAACTTCCCTCTCTGAATTATTAGGACTCTTGCGAATCCCTAACACACCTTGCTGCCTACAACAGGGATGACAAAGAACCCAGGCAGACACTGCTAACCGGCTGCACAGTTTCAGTATCCTGCTCAACACAATACAACAGCAGCTGTTACTAGCCAATCAGAGTTGGTGTGCAAGTCTCTGAGAGACACATTTGCCACCCAGACCTCGTGTCCCATCACACCCCAGCAGGCTTTCTTCCCCATGTACGTGATCCCTCCACCTCTGGACCTGGGCCTCTCTCCAGATGGCCTCTCTCCCCAGGACGCAACCCTCCTCATTCCCTCCATCCTTATTAGCAATGTGATAATATCACCATACCCCCTCCCACATGCATAGCACTTTACAGTTTACAATACACTTCCACGTCATTTATCACATTGGGTTCCCCTGACAAGCCTGGACTTAGAATCCAAAGTACTCCCAGCTTAAAAGGATCATTTAGTTCCAAGGGTCCCCCCAGGGAGCGGGTATCACCCCTCACGGCAGGGATTTGGAAATGGGGGATGCATTTTGGTTGTTACAATGACTGAGGGGGTGTTATGGGCATTTAATGCCTGGGGCCCAGGGATGCCAAACATCCTGCACAGTGAATTCTCCTGCCCCGAATACCAGTAGTTGAGAAACACTGATAATCTAAGTCCTTACAAATACAGGTAAAAAATGGGGCTGATGGGTTAAATACCCAGCCCATAATCACACAACTAGTTAACTATCTTCTAACTCCTGGCACAAGCTGCTTTCCACTGCACAATCAACTACCCAGCCCCTCAAATCACAGAGCAACAATAATAGCCACCATGCAGTGTGTCTCTAATATGCACCATTTAGCCCCTCCAGGACCCTACAGCATAGGTTTTATTAGTGCCCCCATTAAACAAATGAGGAAACTAAAGCACAGGCAAGTGAAATGACCAGCCCGAGATCCCCTGGTTAGAAAGAGACAAAGCCAAAAGGTGAACCAGACGGTCTGGCTTTAGAATGTAAACTTTTGAACTTTATGCCCGGAGACATCAGGACACTTACCCAGGGACACACAATCATTATTATCATCTCCAATTGGCAGTTAAAGAGACCGATTCTCAGAGGCCAAGGACAGGGAATTACCACACCAGTACAAGAGCTTAAGAACCTGAAGTCCCAAGCAGTCATTTAAGGTCACATAGCAAGTTACCATCATTCCCATCTGATGAGATGATGTGCTCCCAGACACACCTCACGTTAACGGCAGAGCCAGGTGGGGTCCTTACAGCATACGATCTGGTGGCCTAGCCAGGAAGGTTCTGGCCAACAGGGCAAGGAGCAAGGGGAGGCCTGGGCGGAGGCCCTCTCACCTGTACGTCTTGTGCAACTCCATGATCCTTTCTTCCAGCTCCCGGGTCTGGTTAGGGGCGAAGCGGAGCTCACTGACGTAGTTGCCCACGTGTTCCTCGGCATCATAGTCACCCAGCTCAGCCTGCACGGCATAGGAGCCCAGCAGGGCGTGCGTGACGAAGGAGCAGGGCAGGCGGCCCGTGATGATGTCCGCCCGCAGCTGCAGGCACAGGTAGTATCTGGACACAGGGGAGAGCTGGCATGGGCATGGGGGCCACTCCCTCCCTAGATTCCCCCAGGCACAGCTGCCCACCGATCCATCAGCACCAACTGCTCAACGCTCAGCGCAGCAGAAGAGGAACGTTCCCAGACACTGGCATGTCGTGTGTTAATACTTTGGGTGTATCCTAGAAGATGGTTATATAACATTTCGTGCAACGTTAAGCATTTTTGTTCATTTCTAAGTTTGAGGGATTTTTCCTACTATAGGAACATTTTCGATTTCTAACTCATTTTCAAGCTAAATTAGGACTGCTTTGCTGGTTTAACCATTTTTTTTAAATGTGATGTATTTTTAATTATACTATTAATATACTCTTATTGTGGGAAAAATGTAAACTTTAGAGATAATTCTAAATTTCCTCTTGATGTACATTCTCAGTCCTAACTCCCTCCCCCAGAGGTCACTCCTGTTATCCCTGTGGTGTTTAGACCTTTTTCCTCCATGGACATATAGAAATGCATGTGGTTTTCACATGATCATCTCCATGGATGTAGAAAAAGCATTTGATAAAATTCAACATCGATTCATGATAAAAACTCTTATGAAAATGCGTATAGAGGGAACATATCTCAACATAATAAAAGCTACTTATGACAAACCCAGAGCCAATATAATAATCAACAGTGAAAGCTGAAAGCCTTCTCTGTAAAATCTGGAACAAGACAAGGATACCCACTCTCATCACTTCTATTCAACATAGTATTTCAAGTCCTTGCTACAGCAGTCAGTCAGGAAAAAGAAATAAAAGGTATCCAAATTGGTAGGGAAGAGGTAAAATTGTCATTATATGCAGACGACATGATACTATATATAGAAAGCCCTAAAGACGCCACGCAAAAACTGCTAGAACTGACAAATGAATTCAGCAAGACAGCAGGATACAAGGTTAACATACAGAAATTGGTTGCATTTCTTTACACTTAACAATAAAATATCAGAAAGGAAATGTAAAAAAAAAAAAATCCCTTTTATTTATTTTTTTAATCTATGGTTTTTAATTTCTGAATGCATCCAAGTGCTTCAAAATTATTAAAACTGAAACACTATACAGCAAGAAAAAAAAAGACTTCTTTCTTGCCACCATGGAACAAGTTATCAATCCTCTGCATGCAGGAGCTCCATTATTGCTGAAAAAAATCCCTTTTAAAATAACATCAAAAATAAAATAAAATACTTAGGAATAAACCTGACCAAGGAGGTAAAAGACTTATATGCTGAGAACTATAAAACATTAATAAAGGAAGCTGAAGATGATTCAAAGAAATGGAAAGATATCCCGTGCTCTTGGATTGGAAGAATTAACATTGTTAAAATGGCCATACTACCCAAAACAATCTACAGATTTAATGCAATCCCTATCAAATTACCCATGACATTTTTCACAGAACTAGAATAAATAATCCTAAAATTTATATGGAACCATAAAAGACCCAGAATTGCCAAAGCAATCCTGAGGAAAAAGAACAAAGCAGGAGGGACTTCCCTGGTGCCGCAGTGGTTAAGAATCCACCTGCCAGTGCAGGGGACATGGGTTAGAGCCCTGGTCTGGGGAGATCCCACCTGCTGCGGAGCAACTAAGCCCATGCGCCACAACTACTGAGCCTACACTCTACAGCCCATGAGCCACACTACGGAAGCCCGCCCGTGCTCCGCAACAAGAGAAGCCACTGCGATGAGCAGCCCACATGGCGCAATGAAGACTCAATGCAGCCAAAAATAAATAAATAAATTTTTTTTTTTAAAAAAAGAACAAAGCAGGAGGCATAACCCTCCCAGATTTCAGACAATACGACAAAGCTACAGTAATCAAAACAGCATGATATTGGCACAAAAACAGACATATGGATCAATGGAACAGAATAGAGAGCCCAGAAATACACCCACACACCTATGGTCAATTAATCTTCGACAAAGGAGGCAAGAACATGCAATGGAGAAAAGACAGTCTCTCCAGCAAGTGGTGTTGGGAAAGTTGGAAAGCTGCATGTAAACGAATGAAGTTAGAACACACCCTCACACCATACACAAAAATAAACTCAAAATGGCTTAAAGACTTAACTATAGGACAGGACACCATAAAATTCCTAGAAGTGAACATAGGCAAAACATTCTGACATAAATCGTACCAACATTTTCTTAGGTCAGTCTCCCAAGGCAATAGAAATAAAATCAAAAGTAAACAAATGGAACCTAAACAAACTTACAAGCTTTTGCACAGCAAAGGAAACCGTAGACAAAACAAAAAGACAACCTACGGACTGGGAGAAAATATTTGCAAATGATGTAACCAACAAGGGCTTAATTTCCAAAATACACAAACAGCTCATACAACTCCATAACAAAAACAAACAAAACAACCCAATCAAAAAATGGGCAGAAGACCTAAATAGACATTTCTCCAAAATGACATATAGATGACAAATAGGCACATGAAAAGATGCTCATCATCGGTAAATATTAGAGAAATGCAAATCAATACTACAATGAGGTACCACCTCACACCGGTCAGAATGGCCATCACTAAAAAGTCTGCAAATAATAAATGCTGGAGAGGGTGTGGCAAAAAGGGAACCCTCCTACACTGTTGGTGGGAATGTAAATTGGTGCAGCCACTATGGAAAACAGTACGGAAGTTCCTCAAAAAACTAAAAATACAGTTGCCATATGATCCAGCAATCCCACTCCTGGGCATATATCCAGAAAAAAACTGTAATTAGAAAAGATACATGCACCCCTAGGTTCACAGCAGCACTATTTACATTAGCCAAGACATGGAAGCAATCTAAATGTCCATCGACAGATGAGTGGATAAAGAAGATGTGGTACATACATACAATGGAATATTGCTTAGCCATAAAAAGAATGAAATATTGCCATTTACAGCAACATGGATGCAACTAGAGATTATCATACTAAGTGAAGTAAATCAGAAACAGAAAGACAAATACCACATGATATCACTTACATGTGGAATCTAAAATATGACACAAATGAACTTATCTATGAAACAGAAACAGACTCACAGACATAGAAAACAGACTTGCGGCTGCCAAAGGGGAGAGGGGGTGGGGGAGGGATGGAATGGGAGTTTGGGATCAGCAGTTGCAAACTATTATATATAGAATGGATAAACAATAAGGTCCTACTGTATAGCACAGGGAATGATTCTCAATATCCTATAATAAACCATAATGGAAAAGAATATGAAAAAGAATATGTATATATGTATATATAACTGAACCATTTTCTGTGCAGCAGAAATTAACACAACACTGTAAATCAACTATACCTCAATAAAATAAATTTTTTTAAATGCATGTAGTTTTGGTTCATGGGTGTTTTTACCATGTAAATGCTATCAAATGCTATATCTGACCACACAGCTTGCTTTTTCACTCCCAACTATGTGCCTTAGAGCCCTTCCCATGTCAGCACACGTGACCTTACTTTATTCATTTTAACTTCTGCACCATATTCCACTGTCTGGACTAACCTGTTTGCCAATGTTTTCTCAAAACTTTTTTATTTGGCTCCAGCTCTAAATGAATTGTCCAAATTGGTTTAAAAGAAACATTTCCAACCACTAGGCCATGATTTTTTTTTATAACTTTCATGCACACTTGGATGATTTTACAACTTTTAGAACCATTTCAAAGCACTTTTTATTGCTTTTTAAGTTACTGTGTATTTTTTTTAATATTCCAGTTCATGCTCAGCCTACAATACCTCCTTGCCCACTTTGCTATGTTTCACCATTTTTTTCCCAATGACTTGTTTCTTTTCCTTTTAAGTGGCTTTTACTTAGTATAGTCTTTACTGCTCCACGACATTATTTTGCAGTCAGAACTGAAGCTCTGGCCAAAAGTACAACACATGCGGCCTCAGTGTGCGCTCAGAGCCACGGCAGAGGCTCAGAGCCAGCAGCGGCTCAAACATTACAGGCATCGAGTGTGGGCTTATAAGCATATCATTCAAAAGTCTCCAAATTCAGAAATCATTACCAAACACACTGATCAGTCCTTCATTTCAGTCACTTTGTCATTCTGACCAGTTTATTTGGGTTCTAAATATTTTTGACTAAATCAGCTGCTACTACCACCCCATCCTCTGAGGCCAGCCACACCGGGCAGGGCTAACTTCCTTCCTGGTGTCCCTAGAGGCCCAATGTCCAGGGACCAGCACAAAGAGGCCCAATGTCTTGCCCAGCACCAGTGGGCAAGAGCAGGGGATGGGGGCTGTATTGGTCTAAAGCTCTCAGCCCTTTCGGGAATGAAGTTTAGACCCTGCCGCTGCCACCTTGGCCCCAAGCTGACCTCAGGGATTAGAGCGGGGCTAATGAGGCCAAGGCCTCAGGTCTGATCTATTCCAGGGATATCTGTTTTATCTCCCAAGGCCAGAGTCCGTATCTTGACCTTGGCCCATTGCCTGGCAAATGGCAGAGATTAAGGAGGGACCCAATGGGAGACAAGAGGATGGCTTAGTAGCTCCCTCTCCTGCTGTAGGAATAACTCCAAGCCACATCCTATGGTTGGTGGGTGTTTAGGGCCCAGCACAAGGAAGACACAGCCCCAGGATATTGTAAAGTAAGACTATCTCTTTGGAAGGGGCTTAGATAAAGAGAAAGGCCCCTCCCTGATTTGGATTTCAGAGGCAGGATGAGCCCCATGGAAGCTCTCATCCTGAGAGATGCTTTGCCCCCCTTTCTAATCTTTAAGCCTTGTTATCTACTGGCACTGAGGCACAAGGCCTGCACCTACAGTCCACGTTCACCCCAGCAGCCTGGGCTTGCCTCCCTGGGGTGGTCACATGCCTCATTTGACTCCCACTCACCTGCCATGTGCACAGAGTAGCACACAGGACGAAACTCCCACTTGCAAAGGCATCTGTGTTCTAATCCCTCCTATCCCCAAAGTTAAAACCTGGCGGTCCAGCCAGCACATCAGCCTTCAGACATGTCTGGTTTATCCTACCCAGAGATGGCCCACCCCATGCTTTTTAAGAGTTTAAATTAGTTGCCAATATTTTAAAAGTGTGGTTTTTACTCTCAAATCTCTAGCTTCACTCCAACTATCAGGCCTGATTCCCACATGGCAGTGACTGCCCGAGCAGAACAGCAACTGTTTTAAGCGGCATCTGTCCTCTTGAATTCACACTGAGCCCCACTGTTCCCTGTGACACCTCCCCCTCTGAAGTCAAGGGTCAGTCGCCATCGACCACTCTGTTTGCATCACTTTCTCTTGCACTGAGTTGGCATCCCTTGTTGATGCTGTCTGCCTGGCCTCAGTAGGCATCTGGGTTTGCACCTGCCATCATGTACCCATATACCACCTTGTGTCTCCCAGGGCTCTGTGTCCATCCCCCTCCACCACCACCCCTCCCCAGCCCTCACCTTGTGATGTCTTCTGTCAGCTGGGCAGGGTCAGGGGGGTAGAACTTGACTGTGAAGGCAAAATTCCAGGGGCTGCCTGAGAGGAGAAGACGGGGGAGAGATCAGAGAGGCCCCATCTCCCCCCATGGGTGGCCCAGATGCACCATGCCATGGGCAATTTTTCAGTCTTCCCATAACAATCGTCTTAGGACAATCCAATAAGAGAGGCTGGCACATTATTCCCACTTGACAGATGAGGAGACTGAGGCCCAGATTAACAGACTTGTGAACTAGCAGTGGGAAGGAAGGTAGAAAGAAAGAAAACAATGGTGCGTGCCAGGCTTGCTGTTAATTACTTTACAAACATTGCTTCATTAAACCTCACAACATCCCTGTAAGTAAGTCCTTGATAATGATTATCCCCATTTTGTAAATGAGGACGGTGAGGCCCAGGCAGTAAAGTGGCCAGTCCAAGGTCACAAGCTAGGAAGTGGCAATGCTGAGGTTCAGACCCAGGCCACCTGGATCCAGAGCCCATGCTCTTCCCTCTACACCAAAGTCTGTGCCCCAGGACATTAGTGGGAAGATAATTAATCTAGAAAATACCACATTAAACAGGTTTCCTAACTTTGGACTTCTCAGAGCCCTCACTCTGCTACTGTGCATTGCACCTCTTGAAGGGGGACGTGCATTCAAGAGTTCCCAAAATCCATTTGACGTGTTGCATCTATTTGTCATAGGGCATCCTTCCAGATTAAAGTTTCTCAGAAAACATGTTGCAAAACTCTGCCCTATATAATGTTGACTCCATCTCAGATGGCAGAATTGGATTATAAACAAGACCCAAAAGCAAATATAATGGGCTAAAAGTAACAAAGAACATTTCACAGGGATAAATGTTAACCTCCATGTTTAGATACGAAAAATCAATGGTACACATTTACAAGGTAGAGAAAAATAAACGCTGCGGTTTCAGCTGGAAACAAGCTCTGCAAACCAAGAGGGATGACCACTTAAGAAGAGGGGGAGGGAGGAGGCCTTGATGAAAGGCCATAAACCAGAACAGTGGTCACACCACCCCTGGGGCATTTTGGGCTCCGTGCTCTAAAGGGACCTCTGACAAAGTGAGAAAGAGAGGCCCATCCAGGGCAGGGCTGTGGACATGAAGGGCTGGAGGCCATGCCATCACTACCATCCTGTCCCTGCAGGCATCACCATCTTCACCCTACAGCTGTCATGTCTCCAATACTTACTAAGTGCTGGTCGCTTGGCTTGCTAAGAACTTTACACGTGATTTTGGAATTTAATCTTTGGAATTTGGAATAATCTTTGGAATTTAATCCTGAGGTAGACTTTCCTTTTAATAGATGAAGGTTTTGAGAGGTTAAGTCATTCTCGCAGGATCACCCAGCTAGTCAGCGATAGAAAACAGGTCTAGCCTCTGATCATATGACTCCACAACCTAGGCTCCTGACTGCAGCTGACTCCTCGGAAACAGCAGCCTCAAGGGGAAACAACCCCTGTCTCAAGAATAATAATGGGGGAGTTCCCTGGTGGCCTAGTTGTTAGGATTCTGGGCTTTCACCGCCATGGCCTGGGTTCAGTCCTGGGGAGCTGAGATCTCACAAGCCGCACAGCACAGCCAAGAAAAAAAGAGAGCGAGAGAATAATGGTAATAATTAATAATAATAATAATGGCTAATACAAACTGGGTGTTACTATGGGCAGGCACCTTTTAGGTGTTGAACACCTAATAACTCATTTAATCCTCACAACAACCCTAAAGATAAGGGTTACCCCCACTTTACAGATGATGAGGCACAGAGCAATTAAATAACACGAGAAGCAGTGATGGAGTCAGGATTCAAATCCAGGCAGTCTACTTCCCGCGTCTATCCTTTTAACCATCACACCAGATCGCCTCCTACTATGTGAAGCACCTACTATGTGCTGGCTGTTGTCCACACTCACATCACTGAACCTTCATCCCCACCTAGTGAGGCAGTAATCACTAATCCACTTGCTAGGGAGATGTGGGAATCCAGAGAGGTGGAGGGATTGCCCCCAGTGCCCTAGGTGATGGGCCCTGAGATTTGGGAGGAAATATACCCAACTCTGAAGGCCAGGACATAAGGACTCAGGTGCCACCTTCAGAAGGCTGGAGTTGTCACAAATCAAGAAAGTGGGTAAAAAACTGCTCTGTGGGGGCCCCAGAAGCCAGAACTGAGGTGAGTGGGTGGAGACTGCAGGGGTAGGAACACAGACTGTGGCTTTACTAATAAATGAGGAAGCCCTGCTCCTTCATAACCCGAGGGGATCACTTCTTGCCCTGGGGAGGAAGTCGAGACCCAAAGATTCTGTCAGCAGCTTCTCTTTTCTAAGGTCCTGGTCCTTCTCTAACACTCTCAGCCGCTGTGTGTGCTCTGATTCTTTCAGGCGTGACAGCCAGGCCTCCCAGCTGGGCTGGGGTTCCTGGGGACAGCATAAAGGCCAGGCCTAGGACCCTGTTGGCCCCAGAGAAGGGGGTCTCTGTCCGTGAGCCTGCCTCTTTATCTCCAACTTACAGGAGGCTACAGGAAGCATCCCTCAAGCCCCCTCCTGCATAGTCAGCTGGCATCCCTAGGCCCAGCTGCCTGCTGTCACGGCAACGGGCTTGGCTCTAGCTTTCCAGCCAGGGGACCAGGAAGCCCAAGCACAGCCAAGGGGAGGAGCCCCCAGTGGAGGCATCGCTGCCTCTAGGCTCCAAGTCCCCACTCACCCCTTGCCCCCTGGCTGAGGCCACCTACCTCCCCCTTCTGGCGTTTGAAGGCTGCCCCGCCCCTCCCAACATGCCTTTTTTCCTCTGGGCCAGAAAAGACAGGTTTTTGGCTTGCTCATCTGTCTTTGACCCAGGCCTTGAAAAGAGTGCAGGATGGTGCCAGGGGGCCAGGGCTCAAGACCTGGCGTGGCCCATACCTCACTCTGTGATCTTGGGTAAATAACTGCCTCTTTCTGGGCCTCAGTCACCCATCATTAAACACAGGACACATTCACTCCTCTCAGTTGGCAGTGCCCTAGAGTACTGTGGGGACAAGGATTCTGAGCTGAGTCAAAGGTCACTGATCACCGAAGCCTGCACTGGCCCTGGACAGAAGGGTGGCTGTTTTGAGGCCATCGGTCTGTCCCCTTGTCCTAGATGACTCTGCAGGTCCCTTCTAGGGCTGACGTCCTGAAGGCAGCTGTGATCCCTCTGCTAACCTGCTGGGTGACTCCTCTCGTCCAGGCCTCAGGCTCCTCACCTCTAAAACGATAACCCTGCCTTCCCCAAGATGCGCCACACACAGCAAACGAGCAGGTCCGAACGCACTTCCCAAAGGAGGAAGGAGCAGCACACCTAGGGCCCTCAAGGCCTGGAGCCCCCCCTCCACCTTCCACTACCAGTTCCAACCACAGCAAGTCACTCACTCCGGATCTGCTTCTTGATTTCCTTGGAGGGGTCCAGCCAGTTCTGTAGGAGAAGATAGAGTTCTTTAGAGGGAGATGGAGGAAGGGACGTGGGTAGGGCTAGGAGAGAGAAACGTCCCGAAATGGCCTGCCAACAGCCCCTTAGCTGGGAACACCCTTCCCTGGCTGAGCTGTCTGGGTCCTTTCCCCTGGGACTGGGAGGTGAGGGAATGAGGCCTGGCTTCACTCAGAGTTTGGGACCCGGGGCCCTGGGCCTGGCACTGCTTGGAGGCAGCACGGTGAACGGGTAATGCGGCTGCTGTGGGACTGGTGGGAAGAAGGCAACGCGGGCGGGAGCTTCCCAAGGCTGGGGAAGGCGGTGAGTGCCTCAGCTCCCACAGGAAGCCATGCCACGGCCCTCCAGATACCCATCTGGGGCTGACTTGCAGGCCCCCAAGGAAGGGGCACAGGGGAGACAGAGAACTGAGGATGGACAGGGCAGGCTGGACCCTGGAGGCGTGCGGACAGAAGGTACCTACTGAAGATCTGAGGACTGATGGAAGCCATGGGCTGCGGCCAGGCCAATGGGGGCCTAAGGGAAGAGACACCCCCCGCGCCCGCGCCCAGGGCAGGCCTTCCAGCCAGCCCTGCTCCCCAGCCCAGGCACCTTCTGGCTGTCGGCATCACAGAAGGTCAGGCCAAAGTAGTCCTTCTCCAGGAGGTTGAGGTGCTCACAGACCAGGTCAAACAGCACCTGGCCCCGGCCGTGTTTCTGAAGAGAAGAGCAGAGCTGCCGTGAGGCCGGAACACGCCTCAGCGTGGGGCGGGGAGACGCCCCAGGCTCCACCAGGACGACCTGAAAACCTGCAAGAGGTTTCCAGCATCTGGGGAGGATCTCAGCACTCCTGCCACCCACCTGGCTCTGCTCTCCAAGTCCTAAGGAATCCTGGGGGGACACTAATGCCTAGCCCATCAACTGCCTTCTTCCAAGCCCTCCTGGGGCCCTCCTAGAACTCAGACCTGCTTGGGGGAAAGCCAGAGTGGGGTGGGGGAGTGACTGATTTTTCCTTCCTGTACAGTGATTAGGAGAAACAGGCTAAGTTGGACCCAAGGAGCAGAAAACCAAAAGTCTGAGTTTTGAGTGTGAGAGGAAGAGACAAGCTACCTGACATGTGAGGGACGTGGGCAGGGGAGGAGGGCAGGGCCTGGGACTCAGGATCACAGTGTGACTCTCTTCCCCGGGCCCTCGCCTTACACTAAGGGAGCATCACCTCTACCCAGGCAGCAAATGAGGTTCCACAGGGGCTCACAGAGCCTAAATCAGCCTCAGTTGCAAGCAGCACTGTTCAAGCCACCTTCTCCCCCCAAATCCCATCAGCAAGGCGTGGTACCTCTCTGAACACCATCTGGGCCTGAGGATTCAGAAGGACAAAGCCCAGAACCTGGCTGGGTACCCCAAACCCACAGGGGTGAGGATGAGCATCGATAAAGGGATCACGGGGCAGGGGGTGCGTGAAGCAGTCACTACCCAAAGAGGCAGCGGACTCCAGGGAGCGGGTGAGGTCCCTGCAAGGTCTGGCTAGGTCACTGGGGACTGGCACCAGGCCTGAATGTGGGGAGCAGCTGGGAAACCGAGGGATTCCTGAGCCTGGAGGAGACCTTCAGAGAGAGTGGCCTCGGCCAAACCCTTACACTCTTCTAGGGTAGCTGAAACAGCACCTTGGGGCCACCACGGGCAGGAGGAAAGAGGGAGAAGATATCCCTTTGTTTTGCCCAGGATTAAGCAAGGTGTCCACCCTGCAACCTTTCTATGAAAGAAAGAAACATTAAAAAAAAAAAAAAAAAAAAAAACAAACC